AAGAGAAGAGAAGAGAAGAGAAGAGAAGAGAAGAGAAGAGAAGAGAAGAGAAGAGAAGAGAAGAGAAGAGAAGAGAAGAGAAGAGAAGAGAAAAGGAGAAAAGAAATCTGGACCCTCCTAGTGGCTCAAGAGGTTAATGCACAGCACTATGAAGCTACCCACAGCCACTACAGCATGGATTCAATCCCCACATGGTGCAGCGACTTCTCCATTCTTTTCTGCTGCTCCCTGCAGCATTGTATTTTAGCAGTTCTGCATATTCTGCTCCCCACTGACTCTGGTAAAGCCTCTCACCACCCCCTCACCTCTGGTCTACACTCCAGCAATTCTATGTATAAGTAAGTAAATCTTTAAAAAAAAAAAATCTAAGGAAGAAAGTAACTTACAAATAAGCATTCCCATATAAGATGATGTCAGCAGTATTTATAGTTGATAGTTTCTGGCAAACAGAGTTAAGTAAGGAAAAGCAGGTTAAATACTGGAAACACATGGAGGTATAGACAATCATGCTTACAATTCAGAAGTACAGGATGTCATCTCTTTAGCTGTATGCCATATGCCACATCTACCACCAAGCCCACACCCCTCCACCAGAGTCCATGTGCTCCCTCACCCACTTTCCTCTCTACCTTTGTCTCACCCCCAGAGCCTCAGATTTCTAGTCAGATTTATACAGCTTGATTTTGGTTTGGTGTTGTCTGACTCTGGTTGATTTCTCTATATTCTAACTAAGAGTGAAACATAATAGCTATTTTTAAAAATTAGTAAAAATTGAAGGATATGGGATATAATGATCTAGTATTGAGTTATCTTTACATAATTCATTTGTGTCAAGTAAATGGAATCTAATTTTTCAAACATACATCTACTATATTAAGCCAAGTCTGTCAGGGTAATAATCATTAAAAAAATAAATCAATAGTCAATATTAGTCAATCTCCCTAATTCAGTTAGTGTTAATTTTGAAAAATTACATAAAGTGAATGAACATATATTACAGAATAGCATGTATTATTTAACTCTAACAAGATATATATATAATACAGAACATTCTTTTTTGTTTTCACAAAAAGCTTCCAACATGAAGCTGTATCTTCTGAAAAGATGTTTTTGCTAATAACTATTATAAAAACTTTCTTTTTACCTAAGGTTTATTCATCGACCTCAACTAATGGAAAGCAAGCAAATGGTAGTCTCCTAAGAACTAATAAAGCTACAAAGTCCATGCACTGAAATTAAGGCCTATAATGACAGTTGGCTTGTGTTTACTTTGTAAACAATTGTGACCAATGCAATTATTTAAGAACACAGTAATTAAAATACCACGCATACAACAATTAGAAATGGGACAGAGGAAAGCTATATATGAGTGGAAAAGAAAAGAAACAGCCAAGAATAGCTAAGGAGAATGGGGGGGTGGGGGTGGAAAACTATAAAACCACTAGCTCAATGTATAGAACCAGTGCTAAACCCTA